ATTACATCAAGTTGGTTATGATAACTCTGTTCTCTAGATGAAGTAAAAGCGAACAAAGGCTTTCAATAATGTCTTCCCTCAAGATCCCACTCCATTTATGTGGTCATCTGATAAACCACTGGACAATCTACTAGCTCCAGGAGCTGGACTATCGTCCCCACATATATCTAACCTAACAGCACAAACACAACGGAAGTAAATGTCCAACAAAAATGCATATAGGCATTCATCCAAAGAATGTTTAAAGCAGCACTATTAATTGCTCCAACTAGAAACAACTCAATGAATACTGACATCAGAATGAATGAACTACAGTGTACTGAAACAAGAGAAAAGGTTGTAAATAGTGAAGGGTGGAGGGAGTGAAAGGAGGGCAGGTATGAGGAAAAAATGAGAACCAAGACCTGTCATGTAAAAGTACAAGATCCCAATGATGAAGGTAACTGCACTGTATACCTAAAACGTACCAATAAACTCAATGAAAAAAAAAAACCAATAGAGAAGAATCATAAAAATTTAAATGTTGAGCAAAAAAATCTAGGCATTAAAAAAAGAGATAAAAGAAGTCACTATAGTGGCTACACTTGGAATGAAGTACAGACCAGTTAGGGGCCTAGCAGGAAACTGCTCACACGCAGTTTCTTGGTGTAGCATCTGGTTATATGAGTGTGTTCGGTTTGTGAATATTTAGGTGTATACTTTGTACTTCAATAGACAACTATGGTGCTGCATGATGAATACTCTCAATTCATAGGGCAAAAACTAGATGGTGACAGAAAAGGGACATCACAGAAAAGTCAGAGTCAGATACATGGTGATCCAGAAGATACATACAGTTAATGGTCAACAGGCCTTCAGAAAAGTTTAAGAGGAAAAACTGAGATTTCTAAAAGCTATAATCTAAGGGAAGGAAAATCCCAATCTTGGTCAAGGGACAGAGTATGTCCCCTTGCTATCATTCTTGCCACTTTCTGAAGCAGTTCTGGAAATTATCCTTCATACTGGTACTACCAAAACTATGGTGCTGCCCAGCACCATCCAATGGAAAAGCAGGCTTGTAAAAACATTAGTGTATCCTCATCCACAAGATTGGACACTATGCAACTTCTGGCTCTTCCACAATGTCAAAATGACCATGAAAGATAAACATATGAGTCTATTCAGGACACTGAGGTATCCCTGACAGTGCAAAGACAGGAAAAGAGGACTTCTAAATAGCATCCTTTAAATATATCATAGATGTAAAGGTTAAAAGCCAAGCCATTTATGTAGTAGAAGATATATGGAAGATTTTGGTTAAGTAAATGACAGTACAGCAAATACATAAAATATCAAATAAAATGAAGAATATCTTTATATGAAACTATCCTCAAGATGTACTGATAAATAAAAAATAAAAAGAAACAAATAAGGACAGAGTGCAAAGTATGAGGGGGGAAAGGTAATAACAGAGTTCTTAACGCTTGCATGAAAAAGGACAGAAAAGAAGCTGGTACACTGCTTCTTCCAATGAAAGAAATTGGGTTGTTAGAAACCTTCTATGAGGGGTGGCTTTTCCATGTATATTACTCTATTTTTTTTTTAATCTCAGATTTGGACAGGGAGAATCAAACCCAGGAATTCATACATATTAAATAGGCAAGTGCTCTACTACTGAGCTACATCTGAACCCATGAAATTTTCAAATATGTATATAATCAAATGTTTTACATTTTTATATTTTATAAATTAACCAAAAGTTAGCTAGACATAAATTTCAGTGTTATTGTGAAAGTATGAGAACTTTTAATGATTAAAAAGAGACTAATGAAATAGATTACATGAGATATCTCATTTTAACAAAATTGCATAATTAGTTTATTTTAACAACACCAAAAAGCCTCTGGTCAGAGATTACAGATCAGATTTGAATTTGGTTTCTCTCGTTTTTTAATATGAGAGGTTTATGGTGTATACACTCACTCTCACACTGAGACATATACATATGGATATACATAACAACCACAACCAAAACAATGTTTTTATTAAATAATAAAGCTTTGTTTCATCTAGGGTTATTTATAACCATACCATCTAAAAATATATTATAGTGTCATTACTACTATGTATTTTCAATACTACCTGAAAATAGAAACTTATCTTTGTTAGTGTCCAGACAAAAACGTTTATATTTGCTATTTGATAATGTCAAAAAGTTAAAATTGATCAGCATAAATAGGTTTTAAGCTCCTTTGTATTTTACTGAAGAGATGGTTGAAAAGGCTCTTTAAAAATTGTTTTCAAGGCTTCAATTAATACTTTAAAATAGATAATTTGCATAAGATCTTAAAACAATGCTTTATTTTATACTACCCAAATTTATAAATCAAATTTGGTATTACCACATTATTGAAAAAAAAGACTAAAGCAAACAGCATATACTATCTTTTACTGATACATTTTTATTTTTCTTGGTGCAGGGGACTCAAACTCAGGCCCTTGCCCATATGCATAGATTTCTAACTCCTCCAGAAGAGAAACAATATTTTTCAGTATTAGTCTTACAAAGAGTAACATTAAATTATTTTGTTATAAAAATTTTCTATTCATTAGTCTAAGTCTCCCATATACTTTAACAGTCCTTTTTTTTTCTCCCTTTTTTTTTCTAGTATCAGGAATTGAACTCAGGACCATGTGCTTGCCAGGCAGGTGTGGTGTCACTAAAGTACACCCCCAGCCCTCTCATATACTTTAATTACTTAGCTTTTAAAAATATAAAATGAACATGTACAATTCATACCCTTTGAAGGTATAGCTTCATATAACTTTAGTTACTTGATATTAAAATTATTTTCTACAATAAAAATGAAATAGAAAACAAAATGATTAGTACATATGTAAAAAAATTGAAAACAATAGTAAAACAGTAACATTAAACTAATTTCCAACAAATAATAAAAAGTAATTGGCTATCAGGAGTCAGCATTTAAGTGAAGCATGCTAACTACAATAAGATATGTCTCTTAAATATGGACAGGTTCTGACATATCAACTTGAGATCCAATCCAAAGACTGAGTTGGCAGTTTCAATTGTTTACAGAAACTCGCATAATCAACTACATAATTGTCTCACAGAACAATTCCCAATCTTTTTCAGTATTTGACACAACTATCATGTTATATAAGGACACCCAATTTTCCCACTAACAACTCAAGCACACTGTATATCATTTTAATTCACAATAATAGCCCTATATGCTGCAGAATTCTATGATGAATCCTATGACAGAATCAGAACTTGTGACCTGGGAAGTCATTAGAAGAGGTGGACAAAAGCACCACATGACAGGAGCACAGGTGAAGGAAAAGAAGTGTGGTGAATAACAGGACTCAAAGCAGAAAAGAAAGAGAGAGTAACGACTGGCAGCCAGCATCTCTGCAGACCACAGGATAAGTCCAGAAGCCCAAAAGAACTTCTCCTTTCCCCAGTCTTCCCTCATAACTCAGGGAAAGAACAATAGGTGTATTGTCAACCAGTCCTACTGATGATCCTCTTATATTTTTACAATCATGTGACTTATATTGCATTTATTATGTGTTCATATATATTATATATGAATATTCATACATATGCTCCTCTTTTCTGTGGTATTCTCAACTATATACTCAACTGCACAAAAAAAAATAAAACCTTATTAAATGAATGAAAGAAAGAATAAAGACACAAACAACACTGGTGCCACTGGCTTTGACGTTCAGACCTCACATAACTTTCTGTTACTTTCAGTTTAAATTATTCCTGTTATTCTGGGTGCTGTACTGTTAAGATCAGCCAGACACTTGGCTAAAATGATGACATCACCTACTTAGGGAAGGACAAGAATAAATCTACAGAGGAATTTTCATAATCTTCTAAAATAGTTTCTTTTAACTCCAAGTAAAATTTGGTATTTTGGCAAAGACCTATTAATCTCTAAAGGAGTGTTAGTTTTATCATCATTCAAGTTGTGGTATAAGATACAATATTTGAAATAATATTTGATGAATATTATTTTCTTTTGATTTTATCTAATTCATTCTTAATGATATAAAAAGCAGTGAGTCCTTGTGTAGATTTAAAAATTGGTATCTTGTTATCTCATAATACATAAATTATTTTAAGATTATTTAATATTTTAAGTTGATTTCAGCAACTAAACTAGTTATTTTACTAACAAAGTGAATGAGATAAAATGATTCTACAGTCTTGACAGCAAGAATCTGATGTGAAGTTTGATGCCGGATGTCCTGTTTGGGCTTTCTGTAAGTTATTCCTATTTGGACATTTGAGAAAGCAGAAAAACAGAATTAGTTGATTTTGTGGAATCTTCTTGTCTTAAATCACTCTCGTGGGTCAGGTGCCCTGTTGACCTTCCTCTAATTAAAGTTCTCATTGCTCTGAACTGTAACTGCCAAATTTCTTAAATAACTTTCCAGACTATACCATGTTCTGGGAAAGGATCATACCCTTGCCTGATACACATTGGAAACTCAATTCTGACTAAAGAAATGTTTTCCAACTTCAAGGTAAAATCTCACAAGTAAGAGATAACCAAGCTAGTAAGAGAATGGAGAAGACAAACTCTAATGTTTCAGCACAGATTTAAATATTACATAAGATAAAGCCCTTCCCAAACAATGCTTTTATACTAACCAATTTTCAAACATAACAACTGGAACATCTCATTACCCAAATTTCTTGATGAAATTAACAGAAGTATTTCTAAATTTCTTAAAACCTAAGTTTTGTTTTAAAAAAATATGCTTCCATTTAAGAGGACAAGGTCATCTGAAACCATTTCTATTTCCTTGCATTCCTATCGCCGAAAAACAGATCAACTGACTGTTCTTTTAAAAATCTGACTAGTAATAACATTGTGAGAGCCTCTTATAAAATATGATGCTTAGTTTTATTTACTTTTCTTCCAGTTTAACATGAGTATATTTTAAAATATATATACACATACAGTGATTTTACTCACTTCAAAGTTTCCTCAAGTTTATGAAATTTCTTTTGAGTATCTTCTTTTTCTTTATCAAGTTCAAACTGCACATCATGAACCTGCCAAGACAAGAGTATATGAAATGTACTGAAAGGAAGTAGAGTCTACTCAAAAAAGAAACCTAAATAAGAAAACTATAATCTCAAATCGACTTTTAGCATAAAATTAGATTGAGATATTCTAAGATAGAAATTTGGTCAACCATAATCACGTACCATAGAATTATTTCATTACTATACTTCAAATATCAAGTTCCCATTTAAAGCTAAAAATTACTTGAATCAACCTACATATGGTTTTCTAAAAATAAACATACATGTAAGAAACTCAAAAAGGCCCCAATTACTTATCATTTTTTAAAGTTATACTCTAGTCAAAGGAAAGGAATCTGACAAGATTCAATAGAATACTATAATGTGTCAGCACTGCCTACACATGTAAGGGTTATAACAGTTGAAATAATATAATAGTTGAAAGGTTGAAATAGTTTTCTCTTCCACTGCTAGGCATGATTTGTATATCCCTTTACTGACTTGAAGAGGGAACCTCCTTCCCATGATTCTCTCTGCTGAATATACCATTCTACATTTGAACAGGGCGGAAAAAGAGGAGAAAATCAGCAGCCATGGTTCCACATACATGCTAAGTGAGGATGCAGAGCCTCTCTGCCTGGGTAAGACGGCTTTTTACTTCGTGGATCAAGAATACTCATTACAGACCTGCTAGCAACCACAATGGGACAAAAGCAAAAGTGATAAACAATGGGATGAGACAGGAACGGCAGCAAAAACATGGCACTACTAACTATAACAAACAGAATTACTGCAGGTCAAAAAATAACAGAATTTATATCACTTTGGCTAGGACTATCTAATTCAAACCTTGCACTCTTTGGCTTTCCCCTTTTATAATTCTTTTGTGCCTTTGCCTTGGTGTTTTAGTAAATAAATTAATAATTGTGTCTAATCAACATGTTTGCCGAATATAATGGTTACACTCATCATTAGGGAATTGGGAATACACTCATCATTAGTGATTACATGTACATAACATACCATAACTTTTTTTTTCATATTCAAGGGCTTATTTACTTGACAAAAATACAAAATGAAATTATCATGAACTGAGTAAAAGTTCAGGATAGTGAAGTCTAAAGTTTGCATACTTTCAAAAAGCTGTCAGATACTACAAACATCACAAAATGGGAAGATAAAAATCATGATGTCTTGATTAATAAACCAAGGACTCCTCCAGGGAACTTTTTTTTGTTTCATTTTCTATTATCTAATCTTTAATTTGGCTGTTTATTTATATTTGGGTTTCTTTATAAGAAAAATCATGCAACATTTAAGCGTATGTGTCTGATTTATTTCACCCAACATTATGGTCTCAAAGTATATCCATTTTCCTATAAATAACTTGTTTATCCTTCCTTATGACAGAGTAGTACTCTAGTATATATAAATGCCATATTTTTCTTTATCCATTCATCTGATGGTGAGCATACAGGGCAATTCTAAGATTGAATTCTTGTGAACTGTGCTGCTATGAACTTAGGTATACATGCACTACTATAATATGTTGTCTTTAATTCTTTAGGAAGATACTTAGAAGGGGAATAGCTGGATCAAATGGAATTTACAGTTTGAGTTTTTGAAGGAATCTTCAAAGTTCTTACCTACTACAATGTTTTCAAGAGTTTTACCTATCTTATCTTCCAGAATGTTGTGTTTCTGTTTTAATTTTTAGATCTATGATCCATTTTTATTTTAGCTTAGTTCATGGTGAGAGATATGAGTCTAGGTTCAATATTCTGCATGTGAATAGCTAGTTTTCAAAGCACCATTTGTTTCCTCCAGGGTAAGTTTTTGCTCCCTTGTTAAATATCAGGTAGCTGAATGTGCCTGGAGTTGTTTCTGAATCTTCTATTCTGCTACCTAGATCCTAATGTCTGTTTTGTTTATTTTTTGCCCACATCATGCTGTTTTTTATCACAGTAGCTTTGGGATCTAACTTGAAGTCTAAGACTCTAATGCCTCCTGCCTTGCTCTTATTGCCTAGAATTGCTTGTTATTCTAGACCTCTTCTGGATCCATGTGAATTTTAGTATTGCTTTCTCTAGTTTTGTGAGGAATGCTAGTAGTATTTTGATTGGGATTGCATTAAATGTATATCAGTTTTGGAAGTATAGCCATTTTGACTATATTGATTCTGCCTATCCAAAAACAGGTGATATTATTCCATTTTTTAAAACCATCTTCCATCTCCTTTTTCAGAGTACTGTAGTTTTCATTATACAGCTCTTTAATGTCCTTGGTTAGGTTAATTACTAAGTATTTTACTTTTCTTGATGCTATTGTGAAAGGTATTGTTTCCCTAATTTTTTTCTTGGTAAGTTCATGATTAGTTTACAGGAGCACTATTCATTTGTGTACTGACTGTATGCAGTTATGCTGGATTTGGTTATTAATTCTAGGAGTCTTTTGGTGGAGTTTTTTGGGTCTTCTATGGAGGACTATGTCATCTGAAAATAATGATAATTTGACTTCTTCCTGTCCTCTGCATATCTCTTTTATTGTTTTTTCTTGTCTGGCTGCTCTGGCTAATGTTTCAAGAACTATATTGAACAGAAGTGGTGAATGAGGACATCCCTGTCTTGTACCTAATTATTGAGGGAATGCTTTCGGCTTCTCTGCATTTAATATGATGTTGATTTTTGTTTTGTCAAAAATGGCTTTTATCAGATTTAGATAAGGTTCTTCTGTACCTATTTTCTTCAGGTTTTTATTGAGAATTGATGTTGTGTTTTGTCAAAGGCCTTTTCTGAAACAATTGAAATAAATCTTGTGGGTTTCTCCTTGCTTGTTTATGTCTTACATATTTTAATGATAAATCAAAATACTTCATAAAGAATTTTTATTACTGGAAAGAGAAAGATCAGTCTGCTTTGCAAATCATTGTCATGCATCTATTTTATTTTTTACATGGGAAACAAGAAAACATTCAAAATTTTACTACATTCAAAACTTACAAGATTATCTTGATTCCTTTGGATCCCAAAGCAAGCATGTTAAATTGGAACATAAACATCACCAAAATAACAGAAATACCATTCAAATCCAAATATAAGCTTTTCGTTTTATTTTGTTTTCTCCAGTACCAGTGATCGAACGCAGGACCTTGCGCTTGCGATGCAGGAGGCAGCACCACTGAGCTAAATCCCCGGCCCTACAGTCTTTTTAATGCACAGAATAAAATTGAAATCCCAAAGTAAACTCAGAGATGACATAATGTAAAGACTCTGGAAACATATGTTTTTACATCAATAAAATCCTTTCTTGAAATAAAATATTGATTAATTTCTTTGGCTTAGACATCCAGTACTATGGTGATAAGAAGTGGCAGCAGTGGGCATCCTTGTCTTTTTCTCTGGACTTTACAGGAAAATCTTTGACCTTTTCTCTGGGAAGTCTGATGTTAGCTACAGGTTTGTTACATAAAGGCTTTATTATGTTGAGGTACATTCCTTCTACATTTAATCTTTTGAGAGTTTGTATCATGAAAGGATGTTAAATTTTGTCAAATACTTTTCCTGCACCTTGAAAGCATAATGTGCTTTTTATCCTTCATCCCATTAATGTGATATATTTGTTGTTTTTTCCCTAGTGAAGCAATTTTTGCACCCTACGGATAAATACCATTTGATCATGGTACCTGATCTTCTCTCTGATCAGGACACATAAGATCATTTTCTTTGTACAGCAATTCAAATGTTTTTCAATATTTTATTTATTTTTGTCTGATAAGGTCTGAAATTTTTCTTATATCTGTAATTATTATGTCAGCTTTTTCTAAGCCCTCTTCAAAAACATCAATTTGTTATGCCTTAGTGTCTATCATTATTCCCCAAATGTTTTATTCTTTGCCCTTTTATTTTAAAATCAAAGATAATTATATTTTCCTTCATATAACTGATTTAGCTTTTGTAACATCAGTTCTACACCACTCAGCTCCCCTGTGGATTTTAAATCTGCTAATGTGCTTTTAGCTTCCTTAAAGTTCTGTTACAACAGTCAGCTCCATTTTCACGTCACCCTCTTCATTCCTTATAACTGTTTCTCCTTCATAAACCTCATATCACCTTGTATTCAACAACGAGTTTCTTGGTATCTTCTTCTAGGGTTAGTTTTCCCTTTCTGTGAGTCTTCTGCATTGTGCTCTCATTCGCTTGTCCTACAATATTTTTTTGACAGAACCCATTTTGGCTTTTTTTTTTTTTGTACTTACTTATCCTTGAACAGTGTTCACCCTCAAGATTTGATGCTTGACAAAATACACAGGATGCATAATCTTGCTTCTACTGCATGTTTCTTAATGTTTTTTTTTCTCATAATCACAACTAAAATCCAGTTCTCAGATGGGTTTTAATTAGCCTATATTTTCTCCTGGCCAAGGCCTCCCCTGTGGTACACTGAAATGATATACTATATGGGAAACTAATGGGAACTGCTAACAGAAGTTGCTAGCATTCTACATACTAGGACGGCATCTCTAATGTACCCTGCCACCATGATTTCCCTCTATTTCCTTCTCAATATTTTTCTGAGACTCAAACACTGCATTAAAAATCATTGATATCTATCCCATTATTGTAAAAGAATTTTAAATATCCACTTTTGAGAAAAATCTATCTAAAATTACATGGTAGTTATGAGTGTAAGCCCTAGCATTGGACTCCTTGGACTTGTATCCTACTTTATCAGTTCCTGAACATTCTATGTCTTAGCTGCCTGCTCTGAAAAATGGAGATTATGACAGCAAGCATATCAAAGAACTGTGATTCATTAATAAACTGTTCCATTTAACAGTCTTAAAATAGTATTGGGAACATAAATAATACATGTAAAAAATTAAAAACTCTATATAGAAACATTTTATTAATAAGTCGAGGACAATGTCCTACAATATAGTAATACCCTTAACTGCCTGCCCTTTTAAGACCTTGCCACTTCTTGATGCCGGTCAGAGTGCTAAAACATGCACTTTGATCTAATTTACTGCTTCTAAAACTACTTAAGAGATTTCTAATGAAAGAATGGAACTATCTGGGTGGGAGGATGAGGGACCGTCCTCTGAGTGAAGCATGCATATATTGATGCACACAGTTTTCAACTGGGAAGTTTCTTAAAGCTAGAAGCTGTTTCTCACTTATTTTTATATCTCTAGCACCCAGCACACCTGGCCCACACTGTAATAGTCTATAAATGCTGTTCTCAGTTTGGCTTTTCCTAATAGAATATATTTGTATTGTATGCTTCAGGATCTTTTTGGATTATGCATTTAGTTTTTACCTTTTAGTTGCAGGTGATGGATAAACACTAAGTGAGAAATTAGTGTACAATGATCTCAATAAAAAAAAGACTATAAATATTCTTATTGGATTAAAATTATTTATTTTTACACAAAAGAAAATTAAAGAACAAATAACATGAAAGAGCTGTTGCCCAACTCCTTTTTTGTTTTTATTTGTTTCTCTGAGATGGGAGCTTATGCTGTCCAATGACAGTAGGAAAAGTGCGTAACGTGTTAATACTTCTATTTTTTCCCCCAATGTATACTGTTAACACCAAAAAAAGTAGTAAGTTTAAAGTGCTAATAATAAAAATTCAAACCCAATAGTTAGGGCTGCATAATATATTCTCACTCATGGAAATTTGCTACAAATAATTCATCTAGGTAGCTGTGAGCACATTTATTGAACATTTTCTAAAAATGTTTTACTTTGTTGCATCCTAAGAATTTAAATAATCTAGAAAAAAATACCTATACAAATGAGAAAGGTATTGTGCTGCATATCAGGTAACAGACATACTATGGCAGATATCATGGCATAGTAAAGAGCATAGAACAGGTGCTGGCACAAAAACAGCCAGCTGAATAACCTTACCATGTCTCTTCACTGCTCTAATCCTCGCTTCTCAAAATAAAAACTATGGGACATTGGGTTACATGAGTTATCTAAATCTTTTTGCTGCATAATTTCCTTTTTAAAACCTCTTAAAGCAAATCATGGCAGTAGTAGTCGAAAAATACTATTCAATATAGTATATGTAAAACTGGGAAAATTTTAAATTATCTTAGCACAATTAAAAGAATTATATAAGAACACTAACCATTGGAATAACTGTATTTTAGCGGTTTTAAATTCCATCATAATTCGTATGTTTTTGTTAGTTACATCAGAATGATTTTAAATAGATAATTCTGGCACATTTAAGAATATGCATGCTTAACATCTGTTTTATTAACTTTTTTAGGTAAACAGCACCATCCTTTACTCTCTAGTACATGTTTGCAAAACAAGCAATAGGTTATTTGTGGGAGGCAGGTGTTTCCTTGCTAGTAAAATCATTTAGTCTAACTATTTCCTGATTTAACAGATTGGGACACTTCATCAAACAATGACATTTAGTTTTACTGCCTATTATTTGTTTGATGTTCAAAGATCTTAAGAGCAGGCAACAGCCACCAGAGATCAATAAAGATCACTAGATAATATGTGTGTGCTTAAATCAGGGACAGCATCTGATGCTTTTTCTTTTACCTCAAAGACAAGTTGGAATGGCATGCTCCCATCCTGCTGCTTTCACACGGGCATGAGGAAATAATGTCATTCAGATGGTATTTCCTCACCCCTGAACAGATATTCAGAACTAAGGTTTATACCAAAAGTTATTGAACATGCACACCTGTAACACTGCCTCACAAACAAAAGCCTTATATGTCCCATTTAGCTATTCAGTTACACAGACCTGGGCTATGTGAGATTTATGTTAGCTCTTTGAGCATTCAAAAGGGATATTCCCTGAGGGGGGTACAAAACAGCAAATCTTCAAGGCTTGAGGTCACATCAATTTAATAAAGAAAGAACAGATGTCAATTTTAAAAAGGAGATTATGGAATTAATTGTAAAACAGAAAGTGACATGCTGAGCAACATTTTCTTCCAAAATAAATAATGTTAAGAACATATGTAACATGAGCAAATATGATTATTTTTCTTTAAAAGATTGCTATTATTTTAAAACAAGTCTTATTTACAATGAAAACAATTAACATGCTTTACCTATGATATTAAAAAAAAGTAGGGCAATTGATAGCTTATAGCAAGAGAATAGCTGCAGTTATGATGCCCAATAAAGAGGACTTAGGTCTGTACCTGAGGCAAACTAGAACAGGAATGGTTAGAAGGCTCTGGATAAAGATGAACTGAGGTCTTATCTCCCCTTCCTTGTGTATATTTATCAAGGAGAGGGACTGACAGAAGAAACCATAGTTTACTAACTGGCTGAAGATCCAAGAAAACATAATGGTAAGAGAAAGACTGTTTCTAGGTTTATCTCTGTATCTAACAGTGATCAACTGGGCTTAAAGAAGTTTAGGAGAGAAACATATTCTTCCACAATCAGCCAGTGCATGCCTTTCTCCATGACACCAGCTCATCTGTTTATTAGGTACTGAGACACCACCTCCCAGAAAGAGGCTGACCAGGGTGTAACAGAGCAGGAGGTGGCAGAAAGATACTCTGCAATGGAAGGGGTGCCAGAGATCTGCCCAAAGAATGAATAGTGAACCCAGATGATCCACGTACCTTATACAGTGCAAGGAAGGAAATACATGTTCTTCTTTTGGTAAGTAAAACATTTATAAAGCTGTATAGCTCAGCAGTAGAAATGGAAAAAATTTATTTCAATAAAGGCAGTAATTTCTCCTTCATATTTAGATATTTTTAAAATATTAAATCATTTAAGACCTTGCTGTAGTAAAACTACAGTAAGAATACAATTCATCAAACATTTAAAGAGCACATATGCATATCAATATATGTCCATGGAGGTACTTTGCTAAATGACAGAAACATTTTTCATGCTATCCAGTGTTCTTGAAGGGTACACTGTATACCCAATTCATCCTAAAAATCACTATAAACCTAATATGATATCTTTCCCAATTGAACATTTAATGGATATTTTCTAACTGTATGAATGGATAAGATATATTACAAAATGTTGTAGGAATTTTGTGATATAAATCATGTTTAACTTTAATTTGTATGAGGCTAGAATGTTTATTCCATTCCAAAAAAATCCATAGAACATACTATTCTAAATGATAAGAAACAATTATCAATTTTTAAGTAGTAGCCAATTCTTTCATTGTCTCATTTTCTTCAGTGAAATATTCAAAGTTCTCATTACACATATAATACAACAGAAAAAATATAAGTTCCAGTGTTTCATTTTTTTAAGCTTTAATTGAGTTTATTGGTACATGTTTCATTTTTTAAACTAGTAGAAAGAAAATATAATTTCAATGCATTTATTATGAGAGGATATGGTACTACTCTTCACTCTTTAAATAAAATACCTGAGTAGTATTTTGATATAATTAACAACTGAATTGATGAGGCTATTTTAAACATGACAAAGTAGAAAAACTTGATTATTGGTTAACTAAAATTAACTTAAAATAAATTATTCTTTAAGGGTTAAAATCTATGGCTTTATCAATGGTAGTCTCCATTAATTGCACTTGCTACTTTAAATGTTTTATAGCTTCCCACAAAATGTATTACCTTTTTCTCATAGGTACACGTTAAGTGATTTTTCTCCATTTGAAACTTATTTTCTTGATCCTGCAAATGATAAATGATTATTTTTAATATATTTTAAATAGCTGCTAGAATCAATAAAATTAGTAACACAGTGAAATGAATGAATTTACCCAATGTCAAAGTTTACTTCAGAGTTTTTAATTAACTTGCTAATTAACATAAATCAAGAAAAAGAGGGCCGGGGATTTAGCTCAGCGGTTCGGTGGCCTGCCTTGCAAGTGCAAGGACCTGAGTTCAATCCCTGGTACCAAAAAAAAAAAAAGAAAAGAAAAAGAAAGATGAGTTTAAGCCATTGTTCCAAACTGTTCGGTGGCCTGCCTTGCAAGTGCAAGGACCTGAGTTCAATCCCTGGTACCAAAAAAAAAAAAGAAAAGAAAAAGAAAGATGAGTTTAAGCCATTGTTCCAAACAAAAACACAAAACCTACCTTTAACTACTGTTTTCAGTTAAGACACCTTACTTGCCCAATTTTCTAAATCACAATAGAAACCTAAACAGCTTTGCATTACAATGAATAAAACCTTAGCTGTCTAAGTTAGTGTTCTCAAAAGTACCTATTTTACTATGTAAGAGAACCTTTCTGACCCTTAGGATTAGGAGATTAAGAATGACCAATAGGTCAATATGGAAATGATAAATCTGAAGTTGTAATAATAGTCCTTAGTACTTTTTGACCATAAGAGAAAAGAAAATATCAAGAAAAGATTGGGGAGAGGGAGGAGAGATTATGAAGATTGGCTGATAATTCAAAAGGAAGAAATTTTTCTAAAATGATATATTTTGATAAGTTTTATATTTTAAACTAATCTTTAAAGAGAGATCATTCAAGTTAAAATTATTATTCTTTATTCACTACATGTTAGCATCAACATTTGTCAGTTAAAGTAAGTAAAATAAATTGAAAATGACGGTAAAAGAATGAGAAATGGCTACCTTGAGAATGGTTACTTCTGAGGGTTTTTGTTTTTTTTGTTTTTTTTTAACTGAGTCACTTATAAATCAAGAAAAGGAAAGGTGAGTTTAGGCCACCTAAAAATACAAGGCCTACCTTTAATAGCTGCTTTCTTTGAAGTTCTGATTCCTTTAACTGCTGTTTTAATTGACAGATGTTCTGTTCTAATTCTTCAATCATACCAGATGCCTGGGAAGATTTTAAGAAGAATAAAAAGTAGAATATTGATTTTAGTACCCTACAACTTCTGCTTGAAAAATATATACCTTTTTTCCCTTGAAAGTTCAATTAAAATTAAAATTATCTATAATCTCAATGAAAAATGTTTTAAAAGACAATATAAAATTAATCTTCCAAAGTTAAAAAAGTCAAATCTGCATAGTATTTTATGTTATGAAAACACAATACTGATATAAAATAATACAAGAAACTTAAAATGTCAACTCTGAAACTACAACAGATCCAAGATTTCAAAATAATAACATATAGTAACTATAAAATGTATTATTAAAATAAAATTCTCAGAATTCAGTTTCTTCCTTCAAAAACTCTGGTACTACTGAAAATGATTAACTTGTAGAATTTGGTTTATTAAGTATTTAGGTTGTGCTACTACATATCTAATATTTAAATACCAAAAAAATTCTTGAAGTTTCAGTTATTCAAAAAATAAAACAAAAGGAGACTAATTTCAAATGCCAAGTAGTTAGATCCTACACAGCTCTCTATAGCTATAGACCAAATAAATACTAACTTTGTTTGGATATATCTGCCATCATATATAATACCTTAGAAGTTGAAAGAGCATTTTCTTGTTTCAGAATGTTTACATCAGCATCATATTTGGTTTGTAATAGTTTCATCTTTTGCTCATAATTATTCATAAGATGATCTTTCTCTTTATGCAGTATGTTTTGCCTAAAAGCAATAATATTAAAAACTCACATTATTTTAGAACCAATCCCTAAAATAGAATTTTTAATTAAATAATTGCAAATATACTATCTTTCTATATATTAAATAAGTATCCACATTTTATTAACTGTTAATGTCAAACATATGCCTTCCATATCTAAAGTGGACTTTAAAAAATGAACAAGCAGTGCAGTTTTTCTAATTCCTAACACTAAATGCACTAGGTATGATTCAATTTTGTAGATAACTTAGAGTTAATATCACCACACAGTAGCTACACCACACACACACACACACACACACACACATATCTGCTTTCAGGCAGTATTGCTTTCATTTAAATGCACTAGGTATGATTCAATTTTGTAGATAACTTAGAGTTAATATCACCACACAGTAGCTACACCACACACACACACACACACACACACACATATCTGCTTTCAGGCAGTACCTTGCTTTCATTTCTTGTAATTCATTACATGTTATCTGGTAACATCTTTCAAGCTCTGATTTTTCTTGAATTAATTTCTGCTTCTGTAAATTACTGTTCTCTGCTTCTCCAGTAAGCTGGTGGACACGGGCCTCCAGTTCTTTGACCATTTGGTTCTAAAAAATAGGTCTTGGTTAGGAAAGCCTCTAATTGCCTTATAACACTTTTATATCAAGAAGCTTGAGAAAAGTATATTGTTTATTAGAATGAAAATAAATGAATCATAAAACACAGCAGAAAAAATTAAATCAATCTCTAAATTAACCAAATCTTTTTAAAAAGATGCTTCCTACCATAAAATTAAGAATACCATGGTTAGATGCTTTTAACCATTCATTCATTTAATGAATATTTACTAAGTCTGGCAATATTCCAGGACGTAGGGACAGGGTGATACATTAAGTTAAAATCCTTATCTTCAGGAAGGTTACATTCTCTTTATTAATTCAGATTTCTTACGTGAGTACTGAAAGCAATGTAATAATATTTTTAAATTAAATTTGTAACCTTCCATTTTAACACACAGATTATCACAAACCAATATACTTTATTACATAAGTACATAGAAATATTTTATCATGATTGCAGTACTAGTGTACCAATTTTCATTCACTTCATTTTTAAATGTCTTTTCCACTAAAAACATTTCTCTATTTTTTCCACACTATTCATCTCTAGGACTAATTGTTCATCTATTAATTGATATTTAAATTATTTTGAGATTTTCATTTTGGTAGAACTGCAAATTAAAGCCTGAAAAAGTCTTTATAAGCTTTACTTTGCTTAAAATTAGGGGAAGGAAGCATTAACTGAAGGGACAATTTATTTTCATTTTAACAAGTGAAATTCTGACAAGTAATTCAGAAAGGTTAACATGATGTTCTTTATATACTATTTCCAAGATAAACATTTAAAATAAAATTTCAATATTAAATATTAGAACCTCATTTCTTCTTTTCAATCTTTTTTTCATTAATATAACTGTTAGGTATGTGAGTTAAATTTCAGTGCAACAGCTTCCAAATCTGTAACATGTAAATTATTATATCTATATTAAAAGCACTGTATATAAACTTTTTTAAATGGATAAAATTCCTTGGTCCAGAGTCTGACACATATCAAATGTTCATATTCCTTCTTTGTGTATCCTGTTCACTTTGCCTTTCTTGAAAAAGCCTCTTGTTTTAGGAGTTCCTTTCAGAGGTTAGTGTCAATTTTCTACTACATATTCTAAGCATCCTTTGTTTCCTACATACTAATTGGCTGTAAGAAACAAAGGAAATAATTCATTTTTTGCTTTTCAATTTAAATAGTGAACATGACTTCTATCCCTTCTTGAGAAATTACCAAAAAGAGACAAGATGTACAAGAGACAGAAATGCATACTTCATCTTAATAAATCATAGGAGAGGAAATTCTATTCCTAGCTACGAAGAAATAGTTTATAACAGGTCATGCTCCCATTAAAAACAATTGAAAAACTCAGAAAGATACAAACAAAAGTTTGATAGGAAGGAACTACAGGGCATTCAAGGCAGCCTAAAGGTAAGGAGACTCAAGGACTTGATTTTGGAGGATGAGGACCAGGCAATCAGTGCAGCAGATGGCCAAGGCAACCAGGACTTAAGCAGCCAAGATCCCAGAGAAAAGGAATGCAATGAGAATTGAGAGGTTGTGTATTTCGTAAGAAGTAGAGACACAGTACAAGAAATCCAAAGTAGGGGTAAAAAAATCCTATTTTAAAAGATTTTTTAAAAATGTAAATAAGGACTAAAAGCTATAATAGATAAAATGAAATAGGAAGAAAAAGGGCAAACGGGAAGGGGAAATGGAAGGGGTAGGGGGAAGGAAAGAAGGGAATGAAACTAATATGAGAAAATGAAAAAATGGGAACAAAGTCTTTGGACACAGGGAGGGGTGGAGGGGCTGACAGGAGGGCGGGAGAATGGGGATAAAATAAGAACCAAGATGGATTATGTAAAGGTGCAAATTTCCAATGATGAATGCCATTGTATTGTATACCTTAAATATACCAACAAAGTCAATTTTTAAAATCTATTTTTTATTATTTCTCTTAATGGAAAATACATGATTATTAGAAGAAAGTAACCTAATTGATAAAAATAACAAGGTACAAAGGGAATGAGTTGATACAAAGAAATAAATCTACAGATTTTTACCAAAGAAAAAAAGGGTTATCAGCCAGAAAAAAGAGACTATTCTCTTTCTATAAAATGAATAATTGAATACAGCAAAGATGTGAGAAGATGCTCAGATAAAAGTGGAAATTATTTTTATAAGAGGAAAATATATTCAACAACTCAGAATAAAGTGAAAGACATGGAAAAATGTGACCTAAATTGTCTATATGCCATTGAGCAGAGTGTTAGCAATAAAATGAAGCTGAAATTTTAACTCAGTTGTTTGCTTGAGCAAAACATTATGAGATCTACAAGGAAATTTTTTGTACCTAAAAAAGGTAACCCAATGGAATATTCCTATTCATAAAAATAATTATCAGAAGAGGTTCCTTTTCATTTTCCTACTGGATACTATGGTTTGGACTACTGTTCACTCTTCTGAAGATGTGTATGTTCCATAAGTATTGACAAAGCTGACAATTAGTTACTTTTGGTGACAGCGATACTTTTCCCTCCTGTTGGCAAATCTTTAGGTTCCAACAGAAAAACAGATGTTAATGGGGACATGGAGGAACTGGAATCCTTGTGCACAACCTTGAGTGTTGGTGAAAATGTAAAATGATGTAACCACTATGGAAAAATAGTATACAACTTCCTCAAATTTTAAAAAATAGAATTGCCAAATCATTCACCAGTCTTGTGTTTTGGGTATTTATAAAAAACTGAAATTGGGGTTTCAAAAAGTATTTGCACTCTCATGTTCCTTGCATAACATGAAAGGTAGAAATAGTTTAAATTTTTATGGATGGAAAAATGGCTAAGGAAAATGTGATATGTGTGTGTATACACAATGCAATATTATTTTATATAAAAGAAAAAATCTTTCATAAGCTACAACTTGGATGAAGCTTGAGGATATTTCATTAAATAGAATAAGTCACATAAGGACAAATATTACATGATTCCACTTCCATGAAGTGTCTATGGTAGTCAAATCCATAGAAACAAATAGCAGAATGCTGGCTGCTAGGCACTGGGAGAGTAAATGGAGTTGCTGTACAATGGAGACACTGTCAGTCATGGAAAATGGAAAATTTCTAGAAATTGCTATACCACACTGTGCATGTAGGTAACCATACAGTATTATTAAGAGGGGAAATAACATGTTCTATGATTTTTACCACACTAAAAAGAAAAATAATGGATATAAAGTACCACATTAAATGCAAATTTTATATATATACACACACACACACACACACACACACACACACACACACACACACATATACACATATATGTATCTTCCCCCAGTTGAATATCCAAGGCTTCACGGACCAGTCACACATTTTGGTTTTGAAAATAACAGTAACAGTCACAATTGAGTGTTCACTATAGGTCAGACATTGTGCTTTTTTTTTACAAACTTTAGGTCATTTACTCTGTCCCCAAAACTATGAGTTAGTTATTATTAATATCATTTTAAATAGGAGAAAACTGACACACAGCAAACTGATTAACTTGCCCATACCTGTTCTTCTGGTAAAATAACTAGGAAGAGAACAGAATTTGATCCAAGATCTCCCTTACCTCAAACCCAGTTCACTGTATAATACAGTGGCACCTCAGTTCACGAACTCAATTCTCTCCACAACTCTGGTTGCAAACTGAACTGGATGAGAACCACCTCAAATTTCCTCACAAGATCAATACTGAACCTAACCACTGAATTTGATTCAATATTCATCCAACTCAGTTTACAAACAGAATTGTAGAAAGAATCAAGTTCATGAACTGAGGTACCACTGGTACTGTCTCTACTGCTATGACACTCTGCCCCTAAGATTAACAAAAAATGAACTAGCAGAAATTCACTGAGAAGACATCATTTTGTCACATAAGGGACAAAAAGAAAGTTAAAATACTAGAACACTTGAGATCTATTTATTAGTCCCCCAAATTATCACACTGCTTTCATTAAATATTTGCAAGACAATTTTTTCACTTCCATAACCTGAAGGCTATTGTGTTTTACAGCTTGAATCACTTATGATAACAAAGGACAGGCTACTGAAATTCAATTCATGTCTTAGCCCCTCTTTTAGCAGTATTTGTTGCAAGTGAAATGAGGCTGAGAAACATGATGTATAATATGCTAAGAGAACAGAACTAACAGTCTGCTACCACAAAATGTCCCTAAATATCCCATTGAAATAAAGATTGCTTATTTCTCAGTGATTTTATAAACATATACAACAGTTAGTTTAGACTAACAATGAAGTTAAAAGCCACCATTTATAAAATATGACAAGTGCAATTTTCAAGAAATCAGTTTCAAAATGTATACAACCAGAATGCTCTAAAAATAAATTCTCAGTATCTACTCCCCCCACACATTCTTATGGTAACGTTACTGGATTAGTTGATTATTTTCTGGCTCCTGCATTTAAAACTGCATTGAATTCTAAGGGGATTAAAAAGAAAATCATTTAATTCTACAATATTTATGTATAGTTTCCCCCCATTTAAATAGTGCACCTAGAATTTATCACAATTCCCAGATGAATTTTTTTTCCAATTCTATCACACCACTCTCATTTTTTAACAATAATTTTTACTATAGCACATATACATAGAAAACATACATTTGCAATTATGTTATCAATAATAGAAATAAAAAAATTAGGCCGCAAACCCGGTCCTCAGTACACTTCTAAACATATTCCTGCAGGCTCATATGACTTTTCAAAGTAAATTTTATGTGTAACATCCATGCAAATTGCAACATAATTATGACAAAATTTTACCACTTTGTCAAAAATGATTTCTCAGCCAGGAACATAGCTCAGCAGCATAGAGCCTGCCTGGCAAGTGCAAGGCCCTGAATTCAATTCCTGGTACCAAAAAAAACTATTTCTCCTGATAATTCTTAGCAAATAACTCAAAGAATGTACAAATATAATATAGATTATATT